GGCGCACGCACACACACACACGCGCGCGCACATACATATATACATACATACGTACATACATACATACATAGGATATACTTGCACGCAGGCACGCGCGCATACACAAAGACACAACACACACTTATACATGTACACACACACACACTCACAGATACATACATAGACATACACATAACGCGCACGCGCGGAGGTTTCGTCTCTCAAATAACCTAAAAGTGTTGCCATGGGTCTTGATAAACCCTCATAAACTAACAAAATTTACTTACTTGGAAATACAAATACACCTACAGTAGGTGGGCTGCACACAATTTTAGTTGGCAAAAGTGGGCATGCGCATGGTTGGAAGGCAACACTGGTACGTCTTATTTTTTTCTCTCTTTCTCTCTGTTGTTTCTGTCTGTTTGTCTTGCTTAGACCCGCACCGAAAATATGGTGCCGATCAGGGGCGAAGGCTGACTTGTTTGACAGGGTAATCAAAGTGAAATGGGACCAGATAGGGCCTGGAGATATCACACTCACACAAGTCACAAGAATCTTACTGGCACTGGAGGCGGCAACTCTGAGTTGTGAATGAAAACAAATCCTGAATTCATGTTGTATGCTTGTTCAACCGCTAAAATAATCGGGAAAGTATTTCATTAAATATTTATTCTAACTAACCTTAAATTTAACTTTAGATTTGAACACACGAACACCAAGGAAAGAAGCACAGATGTCAGCACTACAATGGCATGTTATACCAGACAGCCGAAACACTTTGGTAGAGCACGCCAACTATCAATTTTTTATTTCACATTTGGCTGTTTTTTGTCTAGCTTTTCGCGGCCAGGGGGCGCTGTCATAATCGAGGTCACGATCTGATTAGGACGTTAAAAAGTCGAGGAAAAAAACAAGCACCAGCAGTGTAGTAGCAGGAGTCAAAGGATTATTAGGAGTTAGTTCCCCTCACATATTCTGTGAGGTAGACTCGACCAGTGTAATGGTTCGCTTAGATAATCAGCGCGTCTGGGTGCTTATAACTGTGGCCCGAAAGGGGTGAACAAGGTATATGCGACAATGAAACAGTTCTGACTGCTATGCACATGTTCCCTTCAAATCCATTGGTTGACTCTTCCAGCCTCACCTTAAGCTTACTTAATCAAAGCTTGTGACTGCTTATGGAGTGGCCCGACAGGGGCGAACAGGCTATTTCTGTGGCAATGAAACGGTTTTGAAGGTTAGGCATAGTCTATTGTTCATTGGTGATTATGAACGTCTTTTTACATTTAATTTATGAGGTTTACGTCTATGGGTGAATTTGACTGCGACAATGTTCCAAAATTAGGAAGGGAAGCAGTGATTATTTGATTATATAGACGCTTCGCCTCTGGTGCCGATAATATGTTTTTCTCTGCTCTAACTCAAACTCAAACTTGTACGTGGTTGGCGGGTGCTTAGGTGTTGTTTGCTCCTTCTTTCCTATCAAACACCTATCGTCCTTATCTGTCCTTTTTTATGTACTCGTATGTTACTCTCTCTCTCTCTCTCTCTTGTAACACATCCATTCTTTTGCACTTGTATGGCCTTATACTTATTGTGTTACAAGTACCGTAAAACTTACTAAAACTTAAAAAAAAACAAAAAAACTTGATAGATATGGGAAATGGGTGTGTAGGTGGGCGGAAGGGAAATTTTGCTTCTTACTTGACAATGACAATGATAATGACAAAGACAATGACGATCTTTATTCATCTCGCAGGGAGAAATTAGTCTCAGTCGTTTACAATGGCCGTAGATCTAGATGTTACAAGGCTTAGGTGCACTCACGCGTGAATACTTGAAGGTAGGAAGTGGATATTGGCTATAAAAAATAAAAAGGTTGACAAGCTCTGGCCTCTATCTATTATATCAGTCTTTCTCCTCGGTCTGCTAGCTTGTCCATGGGAATGCCGGGCGCGGGTGCAGCTCCTTCCATCTCTGAAGGTCGGTACTTGCCTTGCGTCTTCCGCCTCTGCCTCATGTGCCATACCACCACCACCACCACGAGCAGAAGGAGCAACAAGGCGAGGATGACCAGCGCCACGATTGCCCCGTCGCTCAGCGCTGACGAGGAGCTTGTCTGGGGTTGGGCAACGGCGGTTTCGCAAAATTCTCCTGATAGAGCAAAGCGAGAAATAATTGTGGTGTGAGCGTAAGTACAGTGGAAATCATATATAACAGGTCCGGTAATAACAGGGATCCGGTAATAACAGGGATTTTATAAATCCCCGATTTTTCTTACTCTTTGTCTCTATTAAAAGTTATCGGCAATAACAGGGCCTCTTTGGAGCCCAACCGGTTATAGCAGGGACAAAAGCTCGTTAACAATGTGTACAAATTGAGAGAGAGAGAGAGAGAGAGAGAGAGAGAGAGAGAGAGAGAGAGAGAGAGAGGGAGAGAGAGAGAGTAACGCAGTGATGGAGCAAGCCTACGCAAGCCATGCCACTGCAAGCACGCGCAGCGTGTAAAGCGAGAGAGGGCTGCGGTGTGCTGGTTACCACGATCTAGCCCGAACCTAGCAACACGCACGCGTAATGTGTCGCCAACGATGTCAAGCGCAAGAGAAAATGCCTTTCAATTGACAAAATAAAACAACACGAAATAATCCAGGCTGTTGACAAAAAGCAAGCTCCAGTGGCAGAGATTTGTTGTCAGTTCGACATTCTACAAGGGTCGATTCACACCCTTAGATCTATCATTTATCAAGGATAGAGAGAAGATAGTGGAAGCATACTCCAGTGGAAAGTTTGGTCTGGATCGAAAGAAGATGCTGATGAGACTACCCGATGTAGATGCTGTGGACCAAGCTCTTCTGATGTGGTTTAAGGCAAGGAGAAAGTTGGTGCCAAAACCCCTGTTCGTGGGTACTTGTGGCAAAGGAAACTACCTATGAATAAGTACAGCTGGATTAGTCCACAAATGCTTACTTTCCTTGCATTTCTGATTTAACAGGGATCGGATATAACAGGACATTTTCTCTACTCCCACCATCCATGTTATATCAGGTTTCCACTGTAAATGTGAGTGGCGGCTACTGATGATTGATAGTGGATTCGTGGGACACGGCCATGTGAAATCAAGCCCTCGTCAAAGTAATTAAAGCAAAGAAACTGACCATTTTCTTTTCTTGCCGGTTGGGCAATTTTTGTCTTTTTTTTCTCTCATATTTTTGGCTCAATACCTTTTATGACCGTTAAAAAAACCACATTTCTGTATGGAAATATATATATTTATATTATTTATAATTTATTATTTATAAATATATATACAGTGAAACCTCGTTGTACACCCCCTCCCCGTTGTACCGCCAGCCCCACTTACCGCCAAGTTTTGCCAGTGTACGAAAAAAAAGGACACCTATATATAAACATAGTACATGTATTTATGCTTTTACACCGCCATTCGCCAAATGTCTGAGTTGTAAGTTGTACCGTCCTTATTAAAGTAAAGTA